CGATGTTAAACGTGCCGCTTCCCTTCCACAAACCTCCGTAGGCCCAGCCGGTGGTTTTTACAATGATTTCCAAATCCCAAACCCCGATTTTCCAAGCGGGACGTTGCTTTGCTCTGTGCCCATCAGTTATTCCTACGGCAGCCATCTTCCCGAGAGAGGAGCTTTTAGAGTTCACTTAGGATAGAATCATGGAATGGTTTGGGTGGGAAGGGAGCTTAAAGCCCCCCCAGTCCCACCCCCTGCCATGGGCAGGGACACCTTCCACTAGCCCAGGTTGCTCCAAGCCTCATCCAGCCTTGGACACTTCCAGGGATGGGAAGCAGCGGACGCTCCGCGGCATTGCAATCACCTCGTGAGTCAGGGCACCGGCGCCTCCTCCTGCCGCCGGTTTCAGAAGAAACTTGGCTTTTGGAGGACCCAACCAGCTCCACAGCGGCATCAATTTCCCAAAGGCGTTTTTAGCAGAGGCAGGCAGCAGCGACTACAAAACAGCAGCTTGTTTACTCCCCACGTGCTCTGCTGACAAACAAGTTTGGGGAGGACGCAGCCACCAAAGGGAAGAACCATTCCACTCTACGGCAGATCACCTGAACTCCAACTGCAGACCGCGGTGCTGCTGGAACAGAGAAGTCCCAGCGGGATTTCTACATTCCAGGTGGCATCTGGATGCAGTGCCAGAGGCACAGGAGCATCCGTTTAGCACAGGAGCTGTGTTTAAGCTCTCCCACTGAAGGGAAATTACAAGGTTCATTTTTAAGGCAGGTTTTAGAGCCAGCAGAACGGCGAAAAAGGACTTAAAAACCCCACCGTGTGTGTAAATATGACGTTCTCCTCGCCCAGTCCAGCAGTTTTCTACCCACGACACCTACGGACGCAGCAGGGTGTTACAGCGACACTCAGATGCGATGCGAGCGCGGGGCAGAAGAGGCTGGAGCGGGCAGGACGCAGTGCCAGAGCAGTTCTGAGCTCGGAGCGGCGCTTCGCTTGAAGGCACGGCCTGAAAAAGGTCTAACTTGGAAGTTCTCCCCCAAAACAGTCACTCAAGACAAGGCGCGGCCCTTGAACTCATCCCCGAAATTCCTACACCGGACCGTGCCGCACACGGGACTGGCGCCCATCACCTGTACGGCTGCTCCAGAGGAAGCTCTCCGCAGGGAGAAGTGATACCAAAATCCTGACGCCTGGCCGGGCAATCAATTCCCACTGAACTCCCTGGAAAAGCTGTTTTCTGCCTGCAAACCACTGCGACACCTTCATCCCTTTGAGATACAGAGCCCACACCTCGCTGTCTCCCGGGTCTGTGCCCACAGCAGTGCTTCCAGCCTCCTCCTCCGGCACAGAGCCCCGACCCCAGCCCAGGGACATCCCCCAGGGAAGCACCAGCTCCCAGGAGGCATTCCAGCTGTGCCAAAATTTATTCCCTAGTCTGAAAGGCGGGGAGCAACAGGCGCAGCTTCGCACAACAAAACCCCTTTGTTAAGAATCGCGCCGGGTAAAGCCGAGCCGGAGCGTCGCTGGGTATCGGCACCTTCCCAGGCTCTCGCGTATCCCTCAGGTATGAAACATTCCCAAATGTTTTACTCCACCTCGTTAAAACATAAATAAAGGAACAAATTACAATACGGGCCGACACTCCACGGCAAAGCATAGGGAAGCGTTCTAGCTCCTCTCCCACTGAGGAAATTTGGCACCTTCCGGGCAGCTCCGTGCCCGAGGTGACACCTCGGATTTGCTCCAGCGCGAAGCCTGAAATAGGGAAAAAACCACACACAGACCAACCCACGCGGGAATCATCTTCCAGTCCCCCCAAGCAGTGAGCAGGCTAACCCCGCGTCTCGCTGCTCAGCCTCGCCAACACCCCATCCCGGCGCGAGGATCCGGCGGCACAAGGAGCCCTCAGTGCCACGCTCCCGGCGCCCAACGCCCATGACGAATCCGGCTGCCCGGCCCCCGCTCTCTCCCACAACTCCTTTCCAAGGAGACCCATTCGGCGTTATCTTGCAAATCTCTTTTATTACAATTTAGGGATTAGTCCTGAATAGGTTTTATTATGTACAGAAATAGAAATTTAGATATAAAAACCCAACAAACTCGACACAAATCAATTAAAATCTGTATAAAGCCGATGTTGAAGGTTTTCTAACTTTCTCTAAATTATACAAAAATAAAATCTGGTAATTACAGTTTTGACTTAAAGTTCAACAAGCGTTACTTCCGTCTCGCCCCGAGCACACGCATCCCGTACGACCTCTTCGAGGTACGCCAGAGGGAAAAGGGCGACAACCAAGCTCTGCTCACTTCAGAGATGTTTAGGGGGATGGATTTAGCCTGGCTTCCCTACCGCTGTACGCCAGATCCTCTGAAAATGCCAGGTTTGGGGAAGGGGGGCGCTTACCCAAGCGGGCGCATGCGGGCGAGGAGCAGTAGCGTTACGCCGGGCGGGTCGGGCGAGCGATCGTCCCCGGGTCGCGCCAAGCGGTGCGGGCCAAGCGGCGGGTTTCCCCCTCGGCCGCATCCCGTTTGTCACTTCGCTTCCAGCCGCGGCCTTTCCCAAGGCCCTGCGAGCAGGTGTTGGGTTCACACCACCCCGCAGCTTGCCAACGCTGAACCACGGGAAGCACCAACTTCCCCACCACCCGAGAGCCGTGGAGAGGTGCCCACAGCGCGTCTTCCCACGAGGAACTGGCGGCGGTTTTACGCGTCGGTCACGCTCGGACCGTGATGTCAACGCGTTTCCCACCCTGCGTCCTCGTTCCTCAACTACCCCACCTGTCAGCAAACAGGAGACGGGAAAACAAACCCCTAAGAATCGCTGTTTTCCAGGATCTGAAGGCATGGCTAGACAATTTTAGTTGTGAAATCGTAGTTCTTTTGCAGAAAAGGAAATATCAGGGGGTTTTAATAGCATGGAGAGGTGAAATAACCCCGCTGCGTTGCTCCCAAACAGCCAGCCCGAGTGCCAGCTGCGTTGCAGGCTGACAACCAGTGCAGTTAACTCCCTGAATTTCCCGACTCTATCACTGCCAGCCTGCAGCTCAGAACCTTTAAATTAAAAGAACGTACTTCACGCAATAAGAAGAAACCCCAAAACTCTGGGTTTGAGACAGAATTGAAAGCAGTGGCCAAAAAGGTGGCAGGTGAGGGCAGAAAACTCAGTGAGGCTCTTCTGCAGCTTCCTTCCTGATTAAAAAAATGGAGCTATGAAGGAGAAAACAGATCTGAAGCGGCTTTAGGCTTCTCCCTTAAGAAGGGAAACCCCTGCAGTCACGGAACAAATCACCTACCCGCGCGACGCGGCGCCAACAGAGAGGAATTCTCTGAGGTTTGGTGTTCATCCCACTGCGTGACCTCGTACCTGCTCGGGTAACTCCCAGTGGTGCTTTTTGACTGAAACAAGTAAACATTTCAGGTCAGGGATATAAATAAGGAGTTTTTTCGGTCCACCGAGGATGTCAACGTTCAGCCCCCGAACGGGAAATGTTATTTTGGTACCAGATGAACAAAAGTGCAGACACAGAGGTATTAATACTGGCTTTTGGTGAAGAACACAGCGATTTGCAGCCTTAGATTTCCATAAATCAACGATAATTCCCTTTACAAGTACCATAACAAGAACATTGGATACAAGAAACAGGGAGAATCCTCCACTTCAATCCAACTTCAGAAAGCAGAAGCACTTAAGGCAACGTGAACTAAGAACCAGTTCCCTCGGTGTGGTTACCTGAACCATCAGCCAGAGCCACGAGGCTTTAATTATCGACCAGGGTGAGGCCTTCCACTGCCCTGACAGCGAAGAGGTTTGGTGCACAAGCAGCTGACCCCCTTTGGAACAGTACTGGGTGAAGGTATGATTTAAACAGAGACAAACCAAAGGGTTCGTAGTGCACCAGAGCTCTCCTGCATCCCCCAGCGCACTGGGCCGTGACATTAAGACGCCCAAGCGTTACAGAAACACCCCAGCACCGGGTTACATGCCAAACTGGGATCTTAAAAGGAATAAATTACCTGCTTTGAACAGGCAGGTTGGTATTAGCTAACAAAATCGGAGACTTCTGTACAAGAAAGTAGCACATACCTCTGGAAACTTTAAATCAAAACTGTAATAACTTGGGTTCGGAGCCCCCATAAATATTTCCTTCAAAATAGGTTTTGCTTTTTCAAAGTGCAAAAAATCCAACTGAATAATCACCACTTCTCAACAGACGGCTGCCAAGGCCTTTCTGGAATGGATTTAACCCAAGGCGGCCTATTTCTCAAGTGTTACTGAAAAGGAATGCAATTACACCACCCTCCCCCTGGGTGACACTCGGAAGGTTTGGTCTGGGTATCAAACTGGGACACGCAGGGATACTCCTTGGCCGAGTATCAAAGTGGGGATTTAAAAAAAAAAAAAGTAAAAGTGTTAAAATCCCACTTCTCTCCCCATTTCAACATCGCACATGCAGCTGCCACTTCTGGGATTGAAGATGCTGATGAGTGCTTAGGGTCACACAACCACCAGACCTTTTATGAGACTACATCAACCCTCTCGCAGTAGGTTTCTTGGAGTCTGTTAAATACTCTTTGTCTATGCTCTGCGGTGAAGCAGTGTCCTATGGCTTCTTCTGTTTCTTGGATACGTTTCTGGAACCTGCATCCGTCTCGTGCAAACTCTTCCCAGGGTCCTTTACGATCCTCCTCGCTGCTTACGTAATACTCAGTAACTTTTTCAAGGAAGGTTACCTGGAAAGACAAGTCATTTAGTAAAGCATTAGCCAAATACTCATGAGAAGGAGCTTAATATCATTTGCACATAAAATTGTATGTATTTTAATGTAAGTTAAATAACTAAACCAGCAAAATGCCTCCGATGGGCTACCAGTTCACGCGTGGTCTCGGCACCACCTAGGCCAGAGCGGATTTCACCTCTCAGCTTGAAAAGCAACCAGCTGCAAAAAGCAAAAGCAGTACCCAGGCTACTAGAGTTCCTAAACTGTGGCCTAAGAGGCCTCTGCAGGCAGAGAGCAGATCCCACAACGTGAAATACCACCCCCCCACGACGCCAGCAGCGCGTTACAACCCTGCACAGAAACAACGCAAGCGGGTCGCTCCACGGGACACGCCAGGACGCTCACGTAAGGCTACAAACACGCTGCCGGCCCACACGGCCAATTACCAAAGCTTACACAATTAAAAAAAAACCCCGGGAGAATCCTTGTTCTGTAGAATAAGTAACCAGTGAGTCAGCTCGTACTTCAGCACCAGGAAAAGAAATCACGCTGTGCGACACGCGAGGGCAACGCTCATCACCACGTGAGCGCAGCCAGCTGCTCTCAAAGCCCAGAGTATGACGTTCATGCCCCGAGATGGTCGGTCCCGGCCTGTTAAGGGGCGTGTGAAAACCTCCACTCTTTGCTGGTTTTAAGAACTAGGAAGTTAACTTCAGAAAACAAAGAAACTTACAGGCTCAGGACCTAAACGACAGTATTTAGACTGTCACTACACTGAGCGTTTACGTTTCGCTGTTCTAGAGCGATAGGCAAAGCCAGACTATTCCAGACTCTTATGGAATTCTGCATTCCTTCTCATTTGGCTGTGCAAAAAGCACAAAACTGAAGGACAAACTAGCCAGCAGCACCCCTCAGTTCTCAGAGCAGCACTGACTCCTGAGGACGAGCCAAACGCTGTCGCCAGTTGGCTGAATTTGCTGCAGGACAGCTCTTCTCCAAGTCAGGAAGAGACCTGGGGAAGTACGAAAAACCTGCTGCTCCATCCCTATGTTTTATTAGCCAGAACTCTATTTCCCACCCAATTCATGCTAACACAGCGAGGAGGGCAGAGTGAGATTGCTCTTTGTGGCAGAGCCAGCTTCCAACCTCCACAGAAAAGAGGAAGGTAACAGTGAGGGAAGAGAGCACCTACAGGAATCATCACCAGTTGAGGACACAGAGCCCCAAGAGACTGTGCTGCCTCCAGAAGTCATCTGACTAGCACAGTGATCCCAAATTTAACGTGAAGCAAGAGGCTCCAGGTTCTACAACTTTACGAACAGGAATCCGCTGCTGGATTGCAGGATGCCAGATAGGAAACAACCTTGAACAGGATGAATGACCTGAAGATTTCCTGGGAACACCCTGGCACTGCTCAGCATGCTGTTTTGCAGACAGACCCAATTAAGAATCTGCTTTCAAGCCCGCGGAGCTGTTACATCAGCCCATCCCTTTGCGAGTTCCTACCTTACATCCTTTTTACATCAGTCGATGACACCCTTGGGGCACAATTACTGGATCTTGCACCTAGATCATCCTTCTTTCACCATGTCAGTGGATTACACAGAGCCAAACAATGCATTCGTCAGAGAACCACTCCTGTGAAGTCCACGACCCTGACAGGTCACAAGCTTTGAGGTCACAGCGGTGTGAACTTACAGCAGGGCTACCCTGCAGCATTTCAGACCACGTCACCAGCTACAGAAAACCTCCTGAAGAAACTACTTGAGTATTCTCCATTTAGATTATAAAATACCACAGCTCTGTCCCGTGTGTTTTACCACCCGCCCTAGTAAAACCAGGGATGAGGTCACCTCCACCCCAGGCTCTCCATTAAAGGAGCGAACTAACCCGCCGGAAGAACACTAAAGGAAGGAGTATGGCTATTCTGACAGCTCTTACATGGGTGTGCATTATCCTGGCCCATGGAATCACAAGCTGTTACTCCTACAAGTGTGGAAGCATGGGGCAAGCCTCAGCAGGGTACATGCATTACACCTGAAAAGCCATCTCAGCATCAGAAAACTCCCGAGATGAATCTGTTTAGTATTATTTACCCGAATCCCAGCACATGAAGGTTTTTTTTAACGCACTAATTCCTCAAACTCTTGAGTTTGTGCTCAAAAAGCCCAGTTCCAGCTGCCATCCCTTTAATAAACGACTGCTTCGTTAGAACTGGCTCTAAAATGGAAATGGGAGCATTACAATACCCCCTACTGAAACCCCTGTGGTTTACTGGAGTAAACCCACACCACCACAGTCCTTCCTACCCCCCAAGACCTTTGCAGCTCAAGCAGCCTTGCCCCAAGTCCTGAAGTATTTACAACACTTAATGCCTTGGTTACTGCACGCACAGGCCCTAAATATCAACATTCTTCATAGTGGAAACGGGGACATTCCAAAGGAAAATATTACGTCACAGGTCCCGTCTGTTTCTCTGAGGACAAAAACGCTGTCACAACACAAAGAGAGAATGAAAACTACGTCTAAAAAAGGGAAATTTAACTGAGTCTAAAAAAGAAATGGAAGTTCCCTGCGAAGGGAATTTAATTCTCTGTGCTGCTGGATTACAAAATCAACCATCACGTGTAGAGGATGAGACACACAGACAAATTAGCTCATAAGATCGAGGGGGCATGATCTGCCCCCCCACCATGGCCACAATCCTGGCACGAGTGACCTCACCCACTCACGTACCACTTGGCACAACGTGGGGGTCTCCTCGTTTGGTGGTTTGGTTTTAAGCATCCCCAAAACACAAAAACACCCATAAATGGAGTCTATACCTTTTTCCGCTTGGAGCTTCTACATTTCTCACCAGAAAGAATGCCACGCTGCGCAAAGCCTGGGACCCCACGGGTCTGTTTTTCCAACTGCACCCGACAGACAGTGAAGTGGCAACGCTCAGCAGTGACCAGACTCGGCCTCTCTGGTCCTTTTAAACCTGGCGTCCCTTTTTTCTCTGCGGTCTGAAAGGCTGCCGTGAAATTTAAAGGATTATACGGATCATCTGAGGTACAGAAGGAGTTCCAAAGTTTCAAGTTTTCTGCCTCATCCACACTGCTACAGTCCCACTCATCCTCCTCTTCAGAACTAGGGTGAGGAGAGCCCGAGGAGTCCTCTGCCCACGAGGAATCTTCCTCCTCCTCCTCCTCATCTGACATATCCTTTCTGAGATCGCTGGAAGCTGTCTGAATGGTGGCTGTGAAGTTCTGAGGGTTGTACGGATCCAAACTGTAGAAGGAATTCCAGAGATGAAGCCTTTCCCCATCTTGGCTACCGGTGTCTGAATCCGAGGGGAGCCCTTCGCTATCAAACCCGTCATCATCCCAGTCTTCCTCATCATCCGCGCTCTCCTCCCCACTGGAAACTCCTCCTATGATGTAGTCTATTAATTTATTCGCACAAGCAGGTCTGGCTGAAATCAGGTTTTGCTCTGGTTCGGACTCTTCAGTCTTGTCTCTCCCCTCAGGCGCTCCCTTCTCGGGTGAGGGCCTTGCCCCCTCCTGCTCCATGGGGCCACC